GTCCCCCTGGCTAGGAAACCCAGCAGCTGGATGCTTCTCTGCTGGCGCCGGTGGGGCGTCTTCTGGAGAAAAGACCCTTACCACGCTGTCGAAGACGAGAGTCGAGTTGGCTGGCTGGCCCTGGGCCGCCTGTTAGAACTGTGCCTAAGCTGAGAGCCAGCAGACCATGAGTGGGCACCAGAGGGAGGCGGGTGGGCTCACAGTGTTCACCGGTGCTTCACCTGTTCAGAGGCACAGAGGCCCCCCAGGGGAGCCCAGAGAACGAAGGCGCTATTGTCCAGGGAGCCTTGCCCGCTTTTCCCAGGCGGGGACGCCCTGAAGGTGAGTCCACACACCTTGCCTCCTCTGGAAAAGCCTCTGACCCCGCAGCAGGCGGGGGCTGATTCTGGAAAGGCACCTCAGGCCACCAGGAGGCTGATGGCGGGAGCTTCAGAGAGCTCCTCGCACATCAGACGCCGCGGCTGCAGCTCCCAGGAGCCAGCCGGAGGCACCAACAGACGCGTGCGCGGGAGTCTTCCCGCAGCCTGGTTTGTAGCAGCCAGCCCTTAGACATTTCCTAGGCGCGCTGACAGCTGCAGGGCCTCGTCTACCAGAGCCAGGTGGCCGCTAAAAGTAAAGCTCCAGAAGGACGGGCAAAGGTCAGAAGGGAAGCAGGGGGTCTGAGCCCCCAGGGCTGGGCTCGTCCTGGAGGGCGCAGGGCAGCGTGGCGGGAGGGGCCGGGGCAGGCAGTAACAGAGCAGAATCAGAACCCGGCACACATAGGCTCATGGAAGGCGATTTTTTCTGTGCTTCCCGAAGCATCTCCTCGGACGAGTCTTGCTGTCATAGTCCGGAGAAGAGAAACGCGAGTGAGGCCAACACAGCCGGTGTGGAGGCCCCGGGGAAGACTCCGAAGCCCCTGGGCCTCACGCTACACCCCAGGCCCCTCCCCTGCCTCACGCCCAGAGTCCCCTGGGCTGGGATGCGCATCCCCGCCGCCAGCAGCACAGGACCAGAGCCTCCTGCTCCGGGCACTTGTGGGGCCAGGAGGCGGCTGGCTGGGACGCTGAGCCAGCCTGGGCCGCGGCTCCAAGCCCAGCTGTGGCTCAGCAACCTCGGGCCAAGTGGCGTTCTGGCTGGCCACCTCGTCCACCCAGTGGGGTGCCAGGGAGGACTTGCCGGCCCTCAGCGGCCAGGAGACCCAGGCGGGCAGCCACTCCTGCTCCGTCCACCCTGCTGAGACCTCCCTGTCTCTGGTCCCTCGGCCTGTCGGGTCCAGCACTATGACTGGCCCCTTTGCTGATCCCCCGGCCTGGCCCAGCTGGCTTGGTGACCCTGGCAGCACCTCAGGCCAGCAGCTCACAGAGCCTGGTGAGGGTGCTGCCAGGACCAGGGAGGGGCCCAGCCTGGGGCAGCTGGGGCCCTCATCATCCCCAGCAGTGCCCCCACTGTGCCTCAGGCCCTGGGCGTGGGGCCGGTGCCAGACCCCAGTGCCGCAAGCCCCAGGGCGGTGGGGGCCAGATCGCACGCTCCCGGTCACCCCACAACCTTATGGCAGCTCATTTGCATTCTCCCTCCCCCTCAGTAGCTCTAAACGAAACCCATTACCAGGAATACCAAAGAAGACCATACCGTGGGGGCACGGCCGTCCTCCACCGCTGTCTCACAGCCCTGGCCCCTGGCCGGGCCCCTGTCTGGCCCTCACCCCGTCCACCTACCCAGGCTCAGATGGCTTCTCTCCCTGGAGTGCGGGTGGTCTACTTGGGGCCGAGGGGCCAAGGCCGAGATGAGAGTCACACTCACTGCCTGGGCTGGAGAGCAGGGCTTGTGCCCCATCAGGGACACGGTGGCTACAAGTCCCAGTGCGTGTGGCACAGAGTGGGCGCTGGGTAATGTCACCAGGCCCCACGTGAGCAGCCCGAGCCTGGCTCCACAGCCTGAGTGTCAGGACTCCCGAGCAGACCCCAGACCCAGCCCTCCCAGGCACCGCTCTGCCCTCACTGCTGCCCACACCCACTGGGCCTGCGGCCTGGGGACAGAGCTGGCACCAGCCAGGACAGGCCCTGCGCTCACAGGAGCCCAGACGTGCTTCGGGCCAGGCCAAGAAGGAGCCTTCTGACTGCAAGGAGACCAGATAGTCTCCAGGACACAATGACCTACTTCACAGGCTTTGAGCCTGTCGCCTGGGCCCAGGCGCCTCCTCTGCCCCCATGGCTGAGAAACCTCATTGCTCACTGGAGTCTCCTCCAGAGCCTTCTGGAAGGGCCTCCAGGGCCAGAAGGACCCCTCACCGCTGCCCTCGGCTCAGTGCCCCACACAGGACCTAGCCTGCCATCAGCTTCAGCCAGCCAGGCATGGAGGGGGACGGAGGAAGACAGAGAGCTGTGGGGAGCCCCGGGAGGGCTCAGCAGGCTGAGGGTGGAGCTCACTTCCCTAGACATCAGCGTCCCAGGTCTAGTCACCTCCCCACCCCCAGAGCTGCAGGCCCCTCCCTGCGGGAGGAGCGCCCCCTGCGGCCGCCCCTCCCCTCCCCTGTCCCAGCCGCCCCTCCCTCCGGGTGTCCACTCCAGACTGCGCTGAAATGGGGGCCAAGAGCTCAGGCAGGGGACGGCACGCCTCTGAGCAGACATCCCCCTCGGGCAGGAGAGACCTGCCCAGGCACACCTGGGAAATGTAGGAGGAGCAAGTTAGGGCCAGCGCCGGCTCTGGGGGTGCAGGGGGGCTCTGGCACGAACGCCCACACACACGCACACACGCGTGCACGTGCGCAGACCCTCACGGGCAGGCACTCAGATTCTCACTGCCACTCGTGCACGTGCATGCAAACTGGGGGCATGGGGATCCCAGCAAGAGCAGGTACGCCGCTGCACGAACACACGTGCACGCACACGCACACCTTGTGGAGATGCCGACCTGTTACCGTGCCCACAGGCCCCATGCTGGCTGGGTGCTGAGCAGACCCTCACCCCAGGACCCTCCCTCCTTGCCCTCCTCCCCCACTTTCCAGGAGAGCTGAGTCAGGGTCCCATGAGATGCAGAGGAGCCACAAGGAAGCCGGTCCCCTCAGCCATGCCAGAGGCAGCCCTGCCACTCAGCAGGCGGCCCACAAACCAGAAATCTGCACTCCCTGGGTCGCCCCCCTTAGATGGTTGGGACCTCAGAAGCCACACAGCGGGAGACCCTCGGGCCCTTCTGTCTGCACCCTGGCACCAGGCCCAGCAACGCTTATGAGAAGAAAGCATCTCCAAGATGCAGGGACGCATCTGCCCCTCCAGCCCCCCAGCCCCCCTGGCTCCCCAAGCCCCTCCAGCCCCCCAGCCTCACTGGCCTGAGCCCCCACAGAGCACTGGGCACCTGGGAGCTGCCCCTCAGGCGCTCCCCCAGCCCCTCTCCCCGGTGGGCTGAGCTCCCCTCATCCCGGAGCACTGGCTCCAAGTCAGGACGGGGCAGCACACCTGCCTCAGCTCAGCCCGACAGGCCGGACTCCTGGAGAGAAAGCCGCTAACTCTCCGGGTGGGAGGGAAGAACCCCCACCCCGTCCCGTCCCGGACAGCCCCGGTCCAGCTCAGCGTGTCAGTCTTCCACAGGGGCACGTCCGTCTGGTCGGACCTGGAGCAAACCACCCAGCAGGGGAGGCTGGCGCTGGCACCTACGGGAGGGGGAGGAGCAGGGCCCTGCCAGGCACCGCCCTCCCCTCGGGCCGGGGCTCGGACACCTGGCCAGGCTGCCCTGCACACCCTGTGACTCCAAACATTGAAAATCGACACGCAGGGAGCACGTCTGCAGGGAGCGCTGAGCCCTGGGCTGGGGAGGGCACATCCCGGCGGGGGCCGCTTCTCGATCTGGAGGACGGGGCGAGGTGCAGTCATGCGGCAGGGCCTCACCCAGCTGCGCACTGGGCCTGTGCACTTCACAGTCTGGAGACTGTAGCCTCGTCT